AAAAAAAAAAAAAAAAAAAACGCACAAATCTATTTCCTAGGGGGATTTGATTTGGTGTATTGAAGCCAATTTTGCGCAATTTCGGCATCCGTCTTCAACCTTGAGCCGCCCGCGAATAATTGCTTCCCCCAAAAAAACCCCAAGTCGCCAATTCCTCTCATGGCCTCGATCGACAGGCTGAGCGACTTGCCGGACGAAATCCTCTCTCACATCCTCTCTTTTCTCCCCATCAAAACCTCCGTCTCCACCAGCACCCTCGCCGCAAGATGGAGGTTTGTATGGGCTTATTCCCCTAACATACAAATCGTCGATGGCTCATTGAGTTTGCATTCAATTTACGATCATAGCGACATCCTGAGAATTATTCTGCCACAATGTGAAGCGCACGGCCTGAACACACTTCGCATCCTTGGGGATATCTTCTTTGATTGTGAACTTGAGAGGTTTCTCGAGAGCGCCGTTGCGTGCAAGATGAAAACTCTGGAAATTACTCAAACGTATGACTATTGTGATTTGCCCCATTGTGTGCTCACCTCCCAAACCTTAGTTGATTTGAAGCTCAGTCGTTTCTTTATTAAGATGAAGAATGTCACCGTGTGTTTACCAGCCCTCAAGAGGCTTCATTTCACGACTGTTGGGCTTCAAGATGGCTCCCTCGAAAACCTGATTTTCGGTTGTCCGGTGCTTGAAGAGTTCACCGGTTTCAATTGTGCAGAAGATGTGGTATCTCATTCCTTATCTTCGTCCACTATGAAGCGGTTGGTCCTCAAGTCTGGTACCTTCTATAACAAGTTGAAGATAGATATTCCCGCGCTTGATTATCTATTAATGCCTTATGATTTCCCCCAAATTTTTTCTGTTGGGCCGATGGACTCCTTGATTGGAGCACACATTTTTGTTCGTGATGACACGCTAAATGTGAACGGCAATCTTTATTCCCTTGTAGAATTTTTGGGTAGGTTCTCTAATGTAAAAGAATTGAGTTTATGTTCTTGGCCTAGGGGTAGGAGGAAGGTAAAACTTGTTTTTTCTCTATCACCTTTTGCTTTTTCGTTTTCCACTCTTGTTATATCTTTTTGTAATCTTTGTTTCCCTGCAGGTTCGTGACTTGACCCCTGTCGATTTGAACATAGAGTTTCACAATTTAGCCAAACTCACGGTGGAAGGTGATTGGCGTATCATCTCATATTTCGTGGAGAAGGCTAACAAGCTTGAAGTCCTTAATGTTAGTTCGATTCTTTTGTCCGTATTTTCAACTTTTATGGTTATATGTGATTGATGCCCGACCTTGTTCTGCATTTGTTTTCTTTTTGTTTCATGATCAGGTCAGACAATATTCAGAAAGGGAGATGGAAGAAACCCTCCAGTCGCCTATGGTTAATTCAATCATGAAGCTTCACAATTTAATAAAACTCGAACTGCGAGTCGATTGGTGGTTCCTCACATATTTCCTAGAGAAGGCTGATAAACTTAAAGTCCTTATTATCCGCAACAATGTAACCATTTCCTTTTTATTTCTAATTGATGAAGTCCAGCTGGTTTGTGGCATTTGTCTACCTTTCTGTTTCATTTTCAGGTTTATCGTAAGCAGAAGCGAAAACGCTGGTTGGCGGCGCCCCTCCAAGTGCCTAATTGCCTGTCGTCACATCTTAAAATAGTAGAAATTCATGAATTGAATGGTACAGAGCATGAACTTGACATGGTTAGATATCTATTGAAGAATGCTAAAGTCCTGGAGAGGATGGAACTGCACTGCTTAGCAGAATCGATCGGGAGAATTTCATCATTTGATCGAGGATCTGAGAAGTGTGAGATTGTCTTCAACGAATATCTGGAATCGGACTCGGACGATGACTGACTGGTTTTTGACACGATCTAAGTATCGTCTCGTCATGCCAACACTCCACGGCTGAGAGGGTCTTTTGATAAATATAGTTGCCTTTGGTCTTCGTATATCACCCTCATTTATTCATGCGTGTCTTGTGAGTAGTTTTAAATATGACCATACTTTTTTTTTATTTGTTTATCTTGTTCATCAATCGATTACTGATGAATTAATTTTTAAAAATCGATCTATCATAATTCATTTTGTTGTGTGGCTACACAATTCCTATATCTGATTTAATGATGGATTCAAAATTCATGACTAATTGAGTTAAATTTTTTTGTGTTAGAGAAGACAAATTGCTAGTTTCATGTACTTTTAGGCAATCTGTTACGAAAATAATTATGTAAAAATAAAAAACGAGTATACTTTGGGAAGTTTATTGTTTTTTCCTATTTTTATTTTAGGTTGAGTTGAAGAATATATCTTGTAGGCGGTGGCAATAATAGTCATCATCTTTACGAATTCGCAGTATTAGCCAATACCTTTAAAAATTTTGAGATTATTACCAAAATCCAACCAAATTCGACGGATAAATTACAAAATATAATCATTGTCTTTTTACGCAGTGGTAACAATAGCCAACGAATTTGTTCGGACATGAGTAATAACCCAAAAATTTTGAAAGTTGTGGTTAATAATGTCAATTCGTAAAAATGGTGGCTAATATTCCCACCGCGTACAAGATATTGACTATATTTTGCAATAAAACCTTTATTTTACTAGTAAAACTCAATTATTAAAAATAATTTTGCAGGGATAAAATATATTGCGCATCCTATATTTAATGAAACTTGCACGTTTTTCCTTCGTGTTTTAAGATAGGGGCGCAAAACTCCCGTCAAAGATAACGGTCCATGCATTATACGCACGAAACTACGAAATTAAAAATAGCAGCAGCTTCTACGAGATGGGTATATAAACGCTCAGACTACTACGACTATGGCCTTGTTTGACAATCAACGGTTAGCTGATAGCTGTTAGCTGATTGCATTAGCTGTTTTGACCAGCGGATTACGTTAGCTGTTTTGACTAGATGATTGTGTTAGCGGTTTGTAAGAAAGTGTTTGATAAAATTAGCTATTTTTAATTAGCTGCTAACCTGTAAAATTACTTAGAAGGACATTGTTGTTATGTGATTGTTAACAACGATGTAATTTATGATTTAAGTGACTAAGTTAAAAGGATTTGAACGTAAAGCATGTAAAATTGCATCAGCAATGGCCCCGGTCCGAGGTGAACCGAGGTGAAGAGCCGTGAAAGGCTTTTACGTGTTATGTGGTAAAGAGTTTACAGTTCGGTAATTTGAGAAAACCGAGATCCTTTTACAATTGTCATAGGTCCACTATTTATAGTAGTTTTTGGGTTGAGACATCGGGATCCGTGTACTACTTTTTGGAATAAAGTAGCTTTTTATGGGCGGTTCGAGGCGGAGGGTCCCACGTAAATGATGACAGATCTTGTGGAGTAGGAGGACCTCACGTAGATGCCTTGTCACCTGCTTAAGGAGATGACGACCTCGGTTCATGTTGTCCTCGGGGGATGTTGACCTCGGTAATCGTCGGTCACTTCGGTCCTTGGTGGTTCAGACCGGTTCTTTGGTGTAGATCGGTGCGGTTATGATTCATGTCGGTTTAACTGTTAATTGTGTTTAATAAAATGCTCAAAACCTCTTAACAGCGTCTTGCCGAGTCGGATGATAACAGAGAGGCCCCCAACATCGATGGGCATACGGAGTTATGGTCGTTGATGTTGCAATATACCAGGTATTTAGAGGCCCTGGCTCGGCAAGAAGTCGGCGGTACGATGTGGTCTATGGTGTTCGGTGGATTATCTCCGGTCGGCCTACCGGTGTAACCGAAGTGGATCATTTGTCCGAAGTGTAGACTGTATGCCGAGGTGGGTACACTTGGTGAATTTTGGGTAACCTTCAGGCAGTTAATGACAGAGGTGATGGACGGTCGTAACGGTCAACGAGTAAATGTGTAGGTCGAACGGTCGCGCCGTAATGGTCTTAAAGGAGGTAACGGTCGACTTTAATAGGCAGCCACGTATACCAGTAGGTGTCTCATCAGATGAAAGGGCGGCGTCGGTTAGGATTAGGGGTCGCGTCGGTTCGACGCGCCCCTAGTGGCGATATCCAACGGTCACAATCTGATGCTTATAAATAGGGTTTGGCAATATTTGATCGGGTTTCCTTCACTTGTGTTTTCACTCTCGAAATTTCTTATCGCTTTGTTGTTTGAGTTCATCTGAGTCTGCAGAATTTTCCTTGCTTGCTGTGTGT